GTACATGAATAAATAGGATAGAAGAACCAGAGGATATCTTAGAAATGAGAAGAAAAAATAATTTAAATTTAAAACGATAGGTCTTGCCTCTAATGACAGGATAATATGAGATCTCAACAGGGTTGGGAGTTTAAGATGCTGGATAGAGTGCTTGCTTCCACATCAGAATACTTGGGTCTGATACACAGTTCCGGCTCCTTACTCCAGTTCTGTGCTCCTGCAGACTCTATGAGGGAGCAGTGATGACTTAAGTGATTGAATTCCTGCCTGCCCAGGTGGGAGATTTAGATTGAGTTTATGACTTCTGCCTAGCACTTGGGAAGGGATCCACCAGATGGAAGTCCTCTCTTTTCCCCTTTATCCTCTCTCCCTTACTCTCCCTTTTCCTCTTCCTCTCAAATAGATAATTTTTAGATCAACTGTTCATTTATAAGAAATCGAAACATATGAATAGAAGAAATAATTGTGCTTATAATAACAAAAATAATTAGTAAAGGAATTGAATTGTATAGTGGTTAATCAAAGAAGATTCTGAGGTTTCATCCTATGGATATTGGTACTCTAACAGATACTCTAAAAGAATAACACCATTTACAGTGAAAGAGAAATGAGTAGAAATGATTTGAGTGAAAAAATGTCAATTGTATTTTATACATAAGGTGCTGGTACAATAACCAAAAGGAATTGAAAACAATTTTTATTATGAAGGAAAATTATATTATGAAACATATGCAAATGGAGAATTTCATAAATTCCAGAGTCTTAAATTAGTTGTTCTATTGGCAAAGGTGACTGTAGAAAGAGAATGAATTCAAATAAGATAACCACCAGATGAGAAGGAAATGTGGAAATGTAGATGAAAATGATAGTGGTTAAGCTATGTAAATGTTAAATCAAAACCTGCTTTTGGAAGATAAAATATATATGTATTATATTATATTACATATATATACATTTATATGTGTGAGTGTATGTATGTGTGTGTGTATACATATACATTCAAGTGAGAAGCCATGATATATACATCATGTCTTGAATGTGAGGAATATTATTCATTGATCCTATAGAACAAGACTCTCCAGGGCATGATCTTCACCTAAGTTTTGAGGATGATGAACCCTTTACCATGTGTGGCAGTATTCTTAGGCAAACACTGTCATTTAGCCCTGTGTAGCTCACGTTTGGAGAAACATAGAGTTACAGACTTTGGTTAGAAATAACCTATTCCAAACTCTGAAGCTCTAAAGCAGAGATATATGCAGTATTTTAAGCCTCGTTTCCAGTGTCTTGCATGTATTTATCCAGATTTAGATCTTCTTCTATCATGTGCCTGGTTTACTAACAGTTGATTGGAGCCATCATATCCAATTTTCATTGATAATAGGATTCTTGCTCTAATGCACAATAACTTTCAGGATATGCTGTGCCATCAAAAGTCTCTGTTTGTTTTCCTGAATAATTACAGAAATAGGGCACCCACTGTATCAGTTATTTAAGAAAAGTCACCAATTTTTTTGTCATCAACATTTTTTTAAAGTTTATTTATTTGAAAGGCAGAGTTACAGAGAAGAAGAGGCAGAGAGAGAGAGAAAGAGAGAGAGATTGAGAATTTTCTATCCTCTGGTTCATAGGGCTGGTCCAGACTGGAGCCAGGAGCCAGGATCTCCTTCCAGAACTCCTACATGGCTGCCAGAGGCCAAGTACTTGGGCCGTCCTCCAGTGCTTTCCTAGCAGCATTGGCAGGGAGCTGGATCAGAAGTGGAGCAGGCAGGACTTGATCTGGTGCAGCAGGCAGTGGTTTAACCCACTGTACCACAGTGCAGAAACCATCATCAACCTTTTGTTGACAGTCAGGATACAGATAGGGACATGACCAAAGTATATTTTACTTTGCTCAAGTCAATAGATACATGGATTTTATGGCCGAAGGGAATATTACTATTACAAATATTACTATTTGTATTGACCAAACCAACTCAGGCTGCCTTGAACTTTATAGAAATTCTTCCTGAGTTCTTGCATTACTGTTATTTTTACCTTTTAGATTTGCTATTATGAGACATTTTTTCTTTTTTTTTTTCATTTACACATATTCACTTCCAAAGAAATTGAGAGATGCTGTATCAAGAACTGCTAACCAAGCAACATTTTATACCAGAATAAAGTGTTTGGTAATGTTCTTGAACTCAATGGAGATGCCAATTTTTGAGTCATCAGCATAGAGCTGATACTTTTAGCATAGAATAGAACAGACAGAATTGTTATTCTTATCAATATCCCAGGTATTCCTTCCCCTTGAGTGTGGACATTGCCTGTAACTTGTTTCCATTTATTCCACTGCTTATAAATTGTTCTGTTATTAAAACAGCTTTATTGATATATAATGCAAAAACCATAAAACTCCCACATTTGCACTGTATATTTCAATGTTTTTTAATGCATTTGCAGATTATAACTTGCTAGCAACCAATAGAATATGGCAAAGATGAAGGAATTTTTCAAATTTGAGTCAGATCCAAATACAAGCATCATGTTTACTGAGGGAGCCAGTAGACAGGGAAACCCCGAGTACTGTAACTCAGAAAATACTCACAGCAAGGGAGGAGGAATACTCAACAGAGATGATATCATCTTTCTAAAAGATGATCAAGAAAATAAGCAGAAGAATAGTTAAACTCAAAATGATGCAGAAACAAAAAGATGAATACAAACTAGAACTAAAATAGAGCATTACAAGCAAGATCACTGTTAACGCATAGAGTCCAAAGGCATTAACTATAAATTCCAAGTCAAAAAGATCCATACCCTCTGCAGCTCTCAGGCTGAACAGCAACAGTGGCTTAGCATTCAGAGTAATAACCAAATTCACAAGGCACAGAAGAGTCAGTGTTACTTAGCTTTAAGAAAGAACGTATGTCCAGCCACAATAAAGTACACAGGGAAACACATCATGACTTTAGACATTCGATATCTAAAAATTCCTCCACACTCTGGACCCTTGGGCTGAGTGACTGTGTCCCACCTCATTCTTGGAAGATGTAAATTCTGAAGTCTTTTTGATCTTTCTAGCTGTGTATCTCCTCAAGGGCATCCTCTCAGGGTACAGTTTCTAGGGAAGCTTAATATCATCAATATCAATCACTGTGTACTGAACAAACCACACTGACAATGAAGTAGAGCTATTTGTCCTTTACATGGTCATTTTGGTTAGGGTCTCATTTATTTTAAATCTGGTATCCTCCTATAAAATCTTTGAGTTAATGTTATAAGAAAAATTTGACTGGCCTGCACCGTGGCTCACTTGGCTAATCCTCTATCTTCAGTACTGGCACCCCGGGTTCTAGTTGTGGTCGGGGCGCCGGATTCTGTCCCAGTTGCTCCTCTTCCATTCCAGCTATCTGCTGTGGCCCGGGAAGGCAGTGGAGGATGGCCCAAGTGGTTTGGCTCTGCACCCGCATGGGAGGATGGCCCAAGTGGTTGGGCTCTGCACCCGCATGGGAGACCAGGAGGAAGCACCTGGCTCCTGGCTTCGGATCACTGCAGCGCCAGCCGTAGCAGCCATTGTGGGAGTGAACCAATGGAAGGAGGACCTTTCTCTCTGTTTCTCTCTCACTGTCTGTAACTCTGCCTGTCAAATAAAAATTTAAAAAAAGAAAAATTTGACCAATCCTCAGGCTAGAGAAACTATCCATTACCTGCTATCCCTTCTGCCATTCCAAACAGAACAGGAACTCAAAAGTCATAACTCAGTACCTGGGTACTTTCTCTGAAATTTGCACCCATCCATACATTAACATTTTTTCTATGCTCTTTGTTCTATCTTAATGTCACACTCCATCTCTCTTATTTCCCTTTACCCCCATAATTTCTACTGGATAACTAGTCTGGTCTATAAAATCCATGTTAATTTACAGAACCTTCTTTTGTATCAAATCATCCTATACCATCTGCATATACTGCCTAGTATCTCTGATTTAACTCTGGACTAGTTTATTTATCCTACCTCAATATATAGCCTTTCTCTCCAGCTTTCACAGGCTAGTCAAGATATAATTAGTAGGAATCTTGATGACCGCCATCTTGCCAGTATTGCCTTATATGAAGAAACAATACATCATTTCTCGGCCTTTTGCCTAAGGCCGAGTGAAGAAACAATATTACCATGGATTAAAACTTCCAACTTTACAAAAAGCATTTTAACATTACTATATGTCCTTAGATTATTCTTTAAAAAGCTATACTATTATATATTATTATTGTTATAATTTATATTATTATAAGTCTGATTTTACAGAAGGAATTAAGTGACATACTATGTGGGGAATAGTTCTGGTAATGTGAGAAGGTCAGTAACTTTCTAAACACATTGTGAGTAATCCCAAAAATTAAGATAAAAATCATTGATCTTCTCACCATGCATAGTCTGACATGCATATACATACAAAATACATACATATTCACATAAACAACATACATGTGCACAATTTCAGTTGTATTTTCTACAAGTAACCTGTTATAACCTAACCCTCCTTGCAGTGCCCTCCTGTGCAATAAGGAGAGAATCAAAATAGATTTTCTTCATTCATGCCATTTTAAAATAGGTACATTCTGGATTTAATCAGATTCCTTTTCAGACACATCCCAAACTCAGATACACCTTGTACTTTAAGAATACTGAAAGCTATAATCTTACCTCAGCCAACAGAAAAGTTAAGCAAAGGGTTGTGCCCATCTCCATTCAGTCTTAAGGAAATGCCCCCAGCTTAATAGGATCTGCCAGGCCATATATGTGAAGATGTCTTTATGCAAAACACAGTGTTCAGGCTGACATTTGTCTGGAACCTGTTTTAACCCACCAGCTCATGCTCTATCTTTGTTCTTTCTGTACAAACACTTGTCTCAGGTTTTGGACTTTGAGTTTTTTTTTGTTTGTTTGTTTTGTTTTTGTTTTGTTTTGATTTGTTTTGTTTTGTTTTGTTTTGTTTTTTCCTCTGGACCTTACAGGCTGTCATCCCAAGTGGCTGGCTTTTCTGTCCCCAGACTGATCTGTTCCATACTACAGTTGATAGATTGTTCCTATTCCCTGACCCGACATCTGTGCCTGGCTCTGAGAATCCTTCTAATCTCCTTTATTAAGATAACTCTGTGTATGGCCTGACATTCTGAAATACCCACTTCTTCACCCTTACTCCAATTTGAAGCACTACATCCTGGATCTTCTATATGTGTTGGTCTTTGAGAAGGTGGTTTTCCTAGAGCTTGAGTGCACAAAGAGTTAAGTTGTAGAGGACAAGCAGCCAGGTGGTGAAGCGATGAGAGGTGTGTGTATGAGACGCCTATTTCATAAGAATGGCATGAAAAAAAGGGAGAGGAATGGGATCAGACCTCTAGGGTCAAATGACTATGAGTGGTGACAGTATCAGCTTCCATTTACTGGATTTCTTCAGACAACTCTGAGCGTATTTCATTACATCCTTGCAGTTAACTCTTCAGAATGTATTTTACTAATTGCATTTTACAAATGAGGAAAGTAAGGCTACAAACGTTTAATTTATTTAAGTCTTTGAGCTAATAATATTAGAATCAAGTTGTTTGTGATTTTCCCATTACTCCACTCCTCAGCCTGTGGTTACTACCAATTTACTCTCTGGGACTCGGACTTTTTAGCTTCCACATATGCATGAAATCTTCTAGTAGTTATCCTATGCCTGGATTATTACACTTAACATAATATAATCAAGGCCCATTCATTTGCTGCAGGACTTCCTTTACATATATTATGAAGAAAATAATGATATATATGTATACATTATACATAAATGTGATAAATATCCATTATACATATGTGATTTATATCCATTAAATATATATACATATAAATCCATTCATATGTTGATGAACACTTAGAATTATTCCATAGCTTGGCTATTGTAAATAATTCATCAATGAACAAGGGAGTACAGATAGTTCTATGGTTCTTTTACATAGTAATATCACATCCTTTGGATATATATAACTGGTAGTGCAATGTAGTTCTATTTCTCATTTTTTAAAAGATTAATTTATTTTTTGGAAGTCACAATTACAGAGAGAGAGGGAGAGACAGAGGGAAAGAGGTCTTCCATCCACTGTGTCACTCCACAAGTGGTCACAATAGCCAGGGCTGACCCAGGAAGAAGCCAGGAGCCAGGAGCTTCATCTGGGTTTCCCAGGTGGATGGCAGAGACCCAAGTACTTTTGCCATCTTCTCCTGATTTTCCTAGCAAGGAACTGGGTCAGAAGTGGAGCAGTGAGGGCATGAAACAGCACCCATAATGGTGCTGACATCACAAGCAGCTATGCCACAGTGCTACCCCCCACACCCTTTTGAGGAACCTACATACTTTTTTTCTCAATAGCTGTGTTAATTTACATTCCTACCAACATCCTCACCAACAGTTGTAACCTCTGCCATATTGTTAGAAGCCTTCCAACAGGTGTCAAGTGATAGCTCATTGATGTTTTAATTTGCATTTCCCTGATGATTAGTGATATTAAATGTTCTTTTTTAATGTAACTATTAGCCATTTGTGTGTCTTCTTTTGAGAAATGTCTATTTAGGTCTCTTACCCATTTTTTTAAATCAGATTATTTTCTTCTGACTCTTGAGTTCCATATATATATTTTGGATATTAACCCCATATGAGATATGTGAATTGTAACTATATTCTATAGCTGCATTTTTGTACCAGAGATTGTTTCATTTGTTTTTTCTTAATTCTGGTGATTGTGCAGAATCATTTAGGTTGATGTAACCCTATTTGTCTATTTTTACAGAGCCAAGATTTGTCTCAGGCCTGTGTCTTTTCCAGAGCTCATAAACTGACAACAGGTATAACTAAATTTATGTTAATGTAAAATTTAGTAAATCAACCAATATGGTTAATCTGTACATAACTTAACTGTATTTGGAAGTTACTCTTGAAAAAGCATTCCATCTTTGAATTTTCCCTTTTCATGTAATGAAACTGAGAGCAACTAACTATGCTTCTTCCACTTCTAGTTATAACCTGAGACCTGAGTCTAGCTTCATGACTAATAAATCTCATCTTCTAGAAGAATTGAGAATGATCGTCAGAGGTTTTTTAGACTTCAGGATTATTTATAATGGGTTTAAGGATCAAAACAGGAGAACTAATAGGATAGAAAATTTCCCGAAGTGTAGTGCAAAAGAATGTAGCTCACAGAATTATCACATGCACACATTCACAAGCGATATATAATACATCACCCATGAATCTATTATTTCTTTGGTAATTCTAGAGAATTCTGTAGTTTAGAAAATTGTTTTAGGCTGCTGCAATATGAAAGCTATCATAAATTCTCTACAGATGCTAATACCAAGAGTATAACCTTGAATGTTGCAGGTTCGCAACTACTTTAATTTAGGGGAAAAAAAAAAAAAAGATGTTTTGCAACATCTGGCCCAGAACTCAAAAGGCTTTTATCTTCTGTCTCACCCTCAAGAAGCCTGACATGGTCAGGTGGCGAGAAAGACACAGCTGCGAGCCAACACCAATGACCAAACTGCTGTGAGTGAGGCCGTCTTAAAACATGCAATCCCAGTCCAGTCACCAGATGACGATACCCCATGAATGGTGAGAGGCAAGACCAGCAGAAGAACTGCCCACCTGGACCAGTACAATTTGCTGAACCAGAATTGTCAGCAGGTATGAAATTTGTTTTTATCACACCTCAAGGTTTGGGAGAAGTTTGCTACACAGCAGCAGATAACTGATACAACTTAATCTTCAATCACATTTCCAAAACAGTTTTAACCTTGAAAGAGTTATTTCACTCAACAAATAGTGAACATACCCAGGAACATTTGGAGATGCAGAGACAGAAGTCTTCGTCCTTATGTCACATAAACCTACTTGGTATACTAAGGAATATTGTTCAGAAAAATTGAAGATAGTTGACTTTTTATTGATTAATCTTTCCCAGGAGACTGTCCCAGTTTCTTTTATATTTGAACAAACATCTGGTATCTTGAAGAAAAATTGTGTGTAAGGTGCTTTTGTTCCCAATGAAAAACTCAATGTGGTTCTGATCATCAATTAATTCATAGGTCTATCGCTTCTTACCTTTTGTAGGTAAAATCTTCAGAAACCCAAGTAAGAACAAATTATTGGTCTTACAGTTGGGTCTTTCAGTGATATTTATCATTCTTTAGAAGTATGAGATATGATTTGCTTGCTTGTCTTTTGTAAATGTTTTCAAACCTTGATCCTATTTTATTTTATCAGCAAGAATTATAACTGTCTCATTGTTGAAATTAGATAAGCAATGCAAGTAAATCATGAAAAGCTACAGGCAGCTATTAATAAAACACTTGAATGAGCAACTCCCCTACATTATTTTAGCAGACTTTCAGGGACTACTTCATATGCAATTAAGACACCTTCCCCAATACATCAACACCCCCTGAGTTTCACTGTCCCAATCATTTTTCCTCACATAAAAACCTGGATGTGTTATCTTCTTGTCTCCCTCTTTTGTTTCTATAAAAACAATATCTCCCAGTTAAAAGCATTCTATTTCTAAACAGTAATTTTTTTATCCTGCTCCAAATCCAAATCCTAAACTTATTTCAAAGTCTGCTCTAAAGCGTTACTTTAATCTTCTCCAAACATGAGGCTTCTGGTTACAATGAATTTGAATTTAACATGTTAACATCTCTGCAGCTATAGATATCAGCAGAATGTGTGTCAATCTAAACAATTTAATTTGGTGAGGCATTGGGCAAAAACCCATTTCTCAAAATATCAGCCCCACCTCACGTAATTTCAACCATCCACACTTACTCATTTGGATTTAAGGCTCTGTGTTCTTTAAGCTTAGTATAAAAATTCACTTCTGGAATGGATTACCTCTTATCAATAAGCACAGGGGTTAACAGTTTTTAATATTTGACAATACCATGTGAGCATAGGTTCATATGAATAAGACAGGGGGAGAAGAGGCTAGCTATCAGAATAGAGACTTTTTCATACTTCCATGTTCAGGAAAACCTTTTTTAAATGTTTTGTTCATTTTGAAGGCAAAGAGAGAGGGAGAGAGACAGACAAATCTAACATCTACTGATGTACTCCCTCAAATGCCCCCAACTGGGGCTGGACCAGGCCAAAGTTAGGAGCTCAGAACTCAATCTAGGCCTCCCAGGCAGGTGGCAGGAGTTCAAATATTGAGCCATTACTTGCTGCCTCCCAGGGTGCACATTAGCAAGTGGCTGAGAGTAGAGCTAAGACAGAAAATCAGATACCCTGATATGGGGTGTGGACATCCCAAGAAGCATCTTAACTGCTGTGTCAAACACCTAACCCAGGGGAGGAAAAAACTTTCAGCAGCTCAATTACTCTTCAACCCACTGCAGCTATTCTTATACACAAGTCACTTTACAAATTGAGTCATTTCAATCATTAAACCCTGAATTTTTACAGGACCCTCACCTAACTGTAGTTCCAGCAAAAAATTATGTCATGGTGCAAGTGTAAATATTCCATAATCAGAAAATCATTCAGCTGTGATATTTCAATGATGCCATAGACAGAAATCTGTGGCTCAAACCACATATTCTCTATCATCACAAAGCTTATGCTCTTTTAGGATCTTCATACTCAACATTATAAAATATGTTGACTGTGTTGATCAGCATGAAAAACTGAAAAAGAACTTTAGGGAATGTGAACTTGTAGTTTAAAAATATTTTCAACTACAGCTTGGTGTTTATGGAAGAGTGGAGCAAAACTTGGTACTAAATTTCCAAATAAGCTAGGATTTGGATTTCATACTAGGGACAGAAGTTCTCATCTCTGTCCAGAAGACTGGGAATATAAACATTACCAAGATTTGGCACAAATATTTTTTTTAAGATTAGACACTGGTGCAAAAAGACAAATATAGTTTTTTCTTTAAAGATTTGAGATCTATCTTATTGATTAACAAAACTGAGATAATGTAAGAAAGAGTTGTAAAATAGTGTGAAAAGTGTTTGGGATTTACCACTGACCTAGATCAGCAGGTGGTTCCCAGTTGACTGGGTTACTTCTCAAGATGAGCAGAAACCTTGTTTGCTAGAATCCTCTATTCATTCTCTATTCATTTGTCTGTCTTTCAAAGCTCAGTTGAAGTTCTGCCTTCAGAATGAAGTCTTCTCTGAACGTTCCAGTACAGAAGACCTATTTTCTTCCCTCATCAGCATTTTCAAAGATTAAACTAAGCATTTGAATGAAATTAAATAATAAAATATAGTTTCCATGTTATGAGGTTTTGCTAGCATATTTGGTGCCTAGAAAGTTATTGACTAAAGAAACAATGAGTAAGTTTTATCACTCCCTGAATCCCAAGTGTATGTGTAAAGAATGCATTTATGTTGAACAATTTATACTGAATAATTATGATGGTTTATACATGGGTTATAGATCAACTTATTGACTTACAGGTCATTAATGACACAATTAGACACATCATCCTAGGCAAGAGAATTGGACATGATCCTTTGAATCACCCACAGCTGTTGTATATTGTAGAGCCACAAAAGTACAATCAAGGCACATTTATGCTTAAAGGGCATCATGCTGAAAGAAACACTCCCTTTGTCAATTCACCTCTAAACTCAGACTCATTTCATTTTTTCTTTCCTTGGTTTTTGCCTGATTGTGCTACTTAGGTAATCTCTTATCTGTTCAAGTCTCAACTTCCTATTTCATAGAAGAATTTTCAAATTGTGTTGTACAATTATAAAAATGATGGAACTAATAAATGAGTATATCAGTAGGATGATAACGCCAGATCAAATAGCATTTAAATACTCATTATATATAGTCATTAAAAATAAGCTTATTCAAAAGCAATGTATCCATATCTACTCATCAGCTATAAAAAATGCCATAGCACATAGTGAGATGTTTATAATTGGAGACACTGGGTGTACGGTGTCTATGGGATGAGAGACTAAGAAAGTATATTAAAAAATCTCTGTATTTCCTCTTCATTTTTTTCTGTAGACCTAAAATTACTCAAAAATATTCACATTTAAATAAAAAATAATACAGTCAAAAAAGACCTCAGTGTTAGATGTAACACTTAATGTTCTAGAGCAATATATCCATATACTTGGAAACTATCTTTTCTAAAAAGGAAATCATTTATTTCTGTAGCAGACAAAAATTAACAAGTTAACATTTAACTTCATAATATCAGGATTTTAGTTAAATAATAAGCAGCAAAACATATATATATTCTCTTATAAGTAATTTTATGTGACCTACTAGATAATGCTCCAGTGTAACAGCCAAAGAACATGTTCCACCACTCTTTGTCTTATTTTTGAGTTTTGGGTATGTACTGTAAAGCCTTTGGCATTACGTGAGTGCCCAAATAATGTCAACAGTGTTAATAAGTTTGATCGCTGTAGTCCCTTCACCTTCTCTGAAACTCTCACATGTCATCTATACATAAAAGACAATAACATTCCAAACTGGACTCAAGAATCTTGGGAGGGTCAAGTGCTCCTCATAAGGTATCAGTTTTAAGTGAGGATTTGGGGATGTTAGTAATGTCATTAAGCAATTAAACTTACAAGTGGCTTACAATTGCATGTTATTTTAAAAGGGATAAGGATATCTTTGGGAGCAGATGTGTGAAAATTTTACATTAGTTTTAAAATCACATTAATCAATAATTGCATCTTAGCTTGCTGTGTTCTACTTAAAGCTGGTCCACACTTCTCCAACCTCTCAATATCCCTAAAGAAGGTAGGTTTGCTCTCATCGTCACAAGGGAAAGCTTGTGTAAAAGAGTTTGAGATGTAACTTACTGAAAGCTACAAAGCACTTAGCAAACATAAAGTGTTCCTAGGTGCAGCATCATAAAACAAAGAATGAGACATCACTGAATATCATGGGTAAAGAGTAAGCTCAAATTTATTTTCATAATTGATGGGAGCTGTGGAATGGGAGCAACTTTGGAGACAGATCAAATGGCACATGGAAAAGCTGAGATTTGAGAAAATAACAGATAGAATAATATAAGCAAACAGAAATTATCCAAAAAGGACAAATAAAAATTACCTTTGATTCCAAACTGCGACAATCACTTGAACACAAGTGTAATGGAAGTTAATGAACATTGAAGACAAGTAAAATCATGGAGTTTTGTTTCCATTTTTATTTTCTTATGCAACTGGTCAATACTTTGATGACCTGGTACATTAATAATTAGTCTCAACCCATATGCTGCAAAGTCAAATGAGGTACCATATGAGGTTTGCTTTGGTATCTCAGTTTATTTGTATCTAAGTAGAGATTGATGCCATCCAGTCCAGAAATAAGAATTTGATGGAAATTTCAACAAGATAGGAATCTTTGAAGTGGGGAGAAATGTCAAGCTCCATAATATTAGGAGACAATTAAATAAAGTCATTGTGAATAGAATTTATTTATTTATTTTGTTTATTTATTTATTATAGAGCTTGAGTTCCTTTGTGGCAGAGGTATACTTGAATTTTACATTCCTACTCAGTGGTAGAATTATTTTTCCAATGTGAACCATAGACTACAAGTTAATTTTACAGGCCAGGTCACATTTGACAACATCTGGATATAACTGGCAGAACTAGTGAGTAATGAGATGCTCACATCTAGTCTAGAGAGGCCAGGGTTGCTGCTAAACATTCTACAATGCACAGGATAGTACTCCATGTATTTGGTTCAAAGTTGATACCATTGAGATCAAGAGGTCTATTCTAGAGTGAGTGTTACCAATGTCCCTGTTCACTACAAAGTTAGACTTGCAGAAAATCAACAAAACAAAGTAGGTAATGCACTCCTTGAGTAAAGAGCCCAAATATAAAGGGATAAGAGCATCATCCCCAAGTCTTTATAGGTGATGCCAGCATTTTGCAGAATATATTGGAAAGAAACAATTTTCTGCAGAAATGTAGTAATAAAGGCTGAAAATAATGTGAACGTTGAGCACATGTGAAGGCTAGTTAGAATTTTCTATGAGGAATAGATTGTGACCAAAAAAAAGGGACATCCATAATAAACAGATGTAAAACAAATCCCACATGGAAAAGAAAAAAAGTCTGCAAATTTTAACAATGCTAGAAGAAGACACAAGACCAGCAAGATCATTATTAATTTTTTATGAAGAAGGAACTGAAAACAGATGCTGCAGTTTTTTGGATATATTGACACTCACTGTGGAAGAATAGATAGTTGGAAATTCTTTAACTTCCCTTCCTTTAAGATGCATTCACTATGTCCCCTCCACTTAAAACTGGAAGACCTTTGTGATCGGCTAGGCAACAGAATACAGTTCCAGACCCAAGCTTTAAGAAACTATTACCTTTCACTTCTTGTTTCTTGCAATACTTTTGTTTTCTGAGAGCCTGGAGCTGCCCTGAACAAATTCTAAGATGCTCCAAGAGTGTCATTCAGGAAAAATCATATGTAAGTGCCCTGATCAGTATCTTCAGATGAGCTTTCCACTATCCTCACCAAGGTAGAAGATCGTAAATGAAGCTGGCTTGGACTTTGCAGACAAACCCCTCTACTAGCTGTTACCTTCAAGTTCCTCTGAAGACATCATGTGGTAAGAAATTGCCAGCTGAATCTTCCTTCATCCTAATCTACAAGATTGTGAGATATAATAAAGGATTCATTATTTCAAACCATTAAGTTTTAGAGTATTTGTTATGAAGCAGTATATAAATAGCAAAATCCTTTTGCTGAGTTTCTAAACAGCATTTTAAATAATTATCTGGGTATTGATAAACACATGCAGATATAGACTGATATAAAAACTAAATAGACTTCGCCTGACCATGTGAGATTTTTGTGCTGAAAATGAAAACAGCAGGTAAACATTCCACTTTATAGATTGCTTATTTTAGCTGAGGTGAGCTGTAGATTACAAAATTACAGCACAGCTTGTGTCAAAAGGGATAGCTGTCAACCTAGAGATAAGAATTAAAAAAAATTAAGTTCCCACCAGGTATGGAAACAGCTTTGGGTTAGAATTCTCTGCCTCTTAGGCAAACTAATTGAGAAACATTAATTGCAAAAACATCTTTCATTATTCTTCCTTGTAACTTTTTTAGTTCCAACTAAAAACTTTACCAGATCACAATTTGACTTTGTATTTGACCGTGCTCCCCTTCTCCCCCTCCAAAAGACACTAAAACGCAATCCAACTTTTTTTATAGAAAGCTTTTATTTAATAAATATAAATTTCATAGGTACAACTTTTGGATTATGCGGTTCTTACCCCCATACCCACCCTCCCACCCCCAAACCATCCTACCTCCTACTCCCTCTCCCAACACATTCTTCATTAAGATTCATTTTTAATTATCTTTTAAACAGAAGATCAACTCTATACTAAGTAAAGATTTCAACAGTTTGCACCTACACAGACACACGAAGTATAAAGTACTATTTGAAGACTAGTTTTTCCATTAATTCTCATAGTGCCAGTCATTAGTGACAGAGGTCCAACATGGGGAGCAAGTGCACAGTGACTCCTGTTGTTGATTTCACAATTGACACTCTTATTTATGACATCAGTAATCACCCAAGGCTCTTGTCATGAGCTGCCAAGGCTATGGAAGCCTCCTGAGTCCACAAACTCCAGCATTATTAGACAGAGCCATAATCAAAGTGGAAATTCTCCTCTCCCTTCAGAGAAAGGTCTCTTTCTTTGATGGCCCCTTCTTTCCACTGGGATTTTACTCACAGAGATCTTTCCTACAGGTCATATTTTTGCCACAGTGTCTTGGTTTTCCATGCCTGAAATGCTCTCATGGGCTTTTTAGCCAAATCCAAAGGACTTAAGGGCTGATTCTGAAGCCAGAGTGCTGTTTAGGGCATTTGTCATACTATGAGTCTGCTGTGTGGCCTGCTTCCCATGTTGGATAATTCTCTCCTTTTTAATTCTATCATTATTAGTAGACACTTGGTCTTATTTATGTGATCCATTTGACATTTATTCCTATATAAATGATCAGTTATGAACTAAAACTGATCACTTAAACTAGTAAGATGGCATTGGTATCTGCCAACTTAATGGGATTTGGAGTCCCATGGCAAGTTTTCAGCTTTACCCTTATGGGTAAGTCCATGGGAACGTGTGCCAAACTGTACATCTCCTCCCTCTCTTATTCCCACTCTTATTTTTAACAGGGATCAATTTTCAATTGGATTTAAACACCTAATAATAATTCTGTGTTAAGAGTTCAACAAATGGTTTCAGTAGGAAA